ACACAGAAATGTGAATTTGGCTATTTCCTAACTCTCTGTTAGTTTGCCTTCCAGTCTTAGCAGTAGTATTTTAATGTGGTTTTCGCAGGTTGCCAAGAGGGTGTTTTAGTCTGAAATGATACTGGACTCCATGTTGTTTGTCAGCATTTCTTGTGAGCTGGAGAGCACCGAGCCGCGGTGGGCAACGTGCAGGTAGTACTGCAATATTGCACTCATCTATGCATATGGCACCAAGGTATTAGGCGCTGATACGGTGTCGGCATCCTCTGCGCAAGCGTTACACCTGCTCGGTGTGGCCGGGTGTCACTGAGCCGCTGCCCTTGCCACCTCTGTCCCCGGAGCACGGTTGGTACCTGGCGCCGCCCATGGAGAGGGAGGGGGCCATGCTGCTTCCTCGGCACAGAGCCGGGGCAGGCAGACAGGAGCCTTGTCCTCGTAAGAGTGGGTCAGAAAACAGGACTGCAGGGGGTGGAAGGAAAACGGGGATCGTAGTGGCCTTAGGACCACTTTCTGCCACAGCCTTTCGTCACAAAATAAGCGAGTATGAGCCCCCAGCACGAGCAGATCACAGGAGCCGCAGCCTGCCAAAGTCCCACTGACTTACTGTCTAACGATTGAATTATAGTTGGTGGTACTATGATACTTTTTCTGGTTCTCGGAGGAATGTTTGAAACTAAAGATGCTCAGGTGCACAGGGGGCCATTGCAAGTTACATGATGCTTTCTGCTGCAGCTCTGTCTTGTCCTCTCTTTTCCTCAGTGCATTGTTTCAGTCCCATTCCCCGTCTGAGGCTTCTCATTTACTTCAGCCCTCTTGCCTGGCCAGGACTAGCTTTCCTCTTAGGGCTCAGTATTTGGGGGAAGGTTTTGGAGAATGCATAAGCAAAACGCCTTCTTCGCACGTCTTCCCAGAACTGCTGATAGCCACCGTCACGGGGCAAAAAGTTTGGGGTCTGTACCCGTGCCGTGGAGCTCCCTCGAGGGAACGGGGTACTGCACAGCCTGGTCTGACCAAGGGCTGCAAGTGGAAGGAGCACAGCAAAACATTTAGATTATTACCATCTTAAATGAAACAAATCTTTCCTGGCTATGTTGAACTGCAGTTTTTCAGAGGTTTTTAACTTGGCTAAATTTGGGTGATTTCTAATGAGCATGACAAAGACATACATAAAATACAAAAGACTCACAGTCCTCCTTGCTAAGTTGGAAGCAATTTGAAAAGGAACATTTTTAAAGGTCTTGGTAATTTTAATATGCAGAATAACCTCACTCTTTGAAATCACCTGTTACTACTGTAAAGTTCCCAGAACTTCAGCCCGAAGCGGACACATAGCACAGGCAATTCCTGTCCCTGCTGTCGGCAAAATTATGTGCGACTCAAAATGGAGTGTCTGGCAACTTAGTAATAAGCCACAACATGATCCTACTGTAGATACTCTACTTCCGTGAGGGAAGCGGAATGTGGTGGCTGGTGGTGTTGTGTTAATGGAGAGACAAAACTTTCTGCAGGATTAATTGGGAAAAATGTGTACTTTTCCAGTCTGCTTAGGCTGCAAATGCCAGAAATTTAAAGAAAAGAAGGAATCCGAGCTGTAGGCAAGCAGACATCCCTCTCCAAGTGCTCAGGTGCAGATCTAAGTAAATGTGGAGGTTTGAGGTTTTTTCTTAACAAAGAGACCAACGTTGCTAATGCAGACCCCCTGCTATTGGAACACCAGAAGTGTTGGACTAACAAATTAGCACACAGGAAATCTGCAATTGCAGAAAAACTCGGGTCTCGCGATTGTAGCAATTGTTTACATCTTTCTACAGCAAAAAGGCTGTTTAATCGCGTTACGTTACAACCTTGTGTTCAGATAGTGGGCGCTCGCATTATTGTCTTTGTGAAGATGAGTTGTCACTTCTCTGATCTAGGTTGCTCTCACAACAAAGAGGCCCGTAAAGCTTTCTGTTTGAAATAGAAGAAATTGAAGCATTTCTTTTGGTGCTAAGCCGTGCAACAGTTTCCCTTGTATAAGCCCTAAAGTTTAGCCTTTACTAATTGGTACTGAAATGAAAATTAATCAGCGCGAGGGAAGGGAACTCACAGCTGAATTCTAATTATTGCAGAGAAAGTAAGCAAAACGGCGCTTGGGCTGTGTGAAAGCGTGGCATAGGAGTGAAATGCTCAGCTCGAGCTCGTTAACTGGGACTGATGTCCTGAAACAGCTCTGTGTGTTTGCTCATACCAGCAGCTGGTAGCTCGAGGAAGGTCATGGCTCTGCATTTGGGAGCCAGCTATGCTGGTGGAGAATGGCACTGCTCCCCATCTCACTGCTGCTTCGGGAGAGGCGATTGCTCCCGTAGGTCTGCCTCAGAGAAGTTCGATACGCACTAATGGGGCTCAGTGTGCCTGGAGCGGGGTCGGGGGCACTCGTGCAACCCCTTCCCATCAGCATGGTTGCGGAGGCAATCGCATCCGGCCAGTGGGGGATTCCAAGCACCCCAGGTTGATACCATCTCAGGTTAGGTTCAGAAGAGGACATCTGCCTGCAGCCTTCAATCACCGAAAGCAGTAGGTGTCCTGCTGCCAGAGGTTTTATGGCTGCTGCTTAGCACAGTGCTCCCTAGAAAGCATTTCATGTTCCTCTTCTCCCTCTCCCTAGCTGAACTGCATAGGCTTTCTTCCCACATGGGTACTCGCTCAATGGCAACAGATACCTCATCAATTTAATAAAAGTGGGGGTTTTCCGTATTCTCAGTGAAGAGTAAATTCATCCACTAGCTGATGTGCTACGTCTCCACTAAGCTCCTGTTCAGGTAACATTAGAGCTGGTTGAAAAATGTAAAGCAAAATATCCGGAGTTTTGGAAAAAAGACACTTTTTTACTCTTGATATTTCTGTTGTTTAAAGAAAAACTAACAATGTTTTGTTTTCTTTTGTTTTGCTTGCTTTCTTTCCCTGCTCTCTCTTCCTCTTACCCTTTTTTTCCTTTTTCTAGTTTGCTTTTGTGAAAATAGAGGGCCAGTAACCGTAGACCAGGCTGTGCCCATATTCTTTGCCTTCCAATTTTGACTGAAATAGCAAAATGTCAAAGCGTTGACGGTGGGGTTTTTATTAAGTCTTTCTTAATACAAAAAAAATTCAACCAGCTCTAGCGAGTACCATCTTCACAGTACTCTTGGCGGTTGTTCCTAAGCAGCAGTAAGTGGCGATGAAATTCTGTAGGCGCAGTACATAGGCTTGTGTCCTTCTGGTTTGCATAGAGCTCATGGGGAAACATGGTGCTGAACTCGTACCCCGTGCGCAACGAGGAATTACTGTTATCGCCAACTGCGGCTGTTTCTGTAAGGAGCAAAAGCGACCGCAACTGAAGCAGTACAGAGCAAGAAAAGATCATGCCTTTTGCAACCTCTATTCTCATAGACTTGTAAGGATTTGATTTGAATTGGCAAATGGTGATAAATGCTGATTTTTTTTTTAAAAAAAATTTAGAGTACTTATAACACTTGAAAATCTGATGGCAAAAATACAGGTGTCCATCTGATTCTTCAGCATACACTCGTTTCCTCTCTCATTCTGCTCTGGCTCCATGGCCCTGGCTTTGCCCTGCGTATTTAGAGGGACTTCGGCAGGATAAAACAAGAAAGGCTGAGCTTGACAAAAGCTATGCTTGGTGATTATCTTTGGCAAAGCTAAAGTCTACTAACCATTGATTTTTTTTTTTTCAATAAAAAGTAGAAATTAAATCTTACTGTGCCCATTGGAGACTTCTTCCAAAGGAAGAGTTACTGATGAGCTATTCTTCCATGATTGTGTTGGCTTCTACAAATAACAACATTGCCGTGTGTCTTTCTCAAAGTGCGTGCAATTTGCATAGGACGCTTTTGGGGGTTTCTGCTGCTGCCGAAACTGATTTAATACTCATTAACTGACAAAGTCTAATCCAAAGCCTTATGGGCCATCGATGCAGGGCCATAAAATGTGCAGAATTGCGCTTGCCGGGCAGCTCCAGGGGAAGCGTGCTGTGAGAAGAGGGGGTCGGTGTGCCTCCTGCTATCACAGAGCTGCAACCACATGGGGGGAGGTTCGGAGAAGATTCCCATCGCCGTGGGCAGAGGCATACATCCTCTGGTAGCAATCCTACCTCGCAGAGCAGCGAACGAAGCCGGGGGCAGCTCTGATGATCATCATCCCGTCCCAGGGGGCTGCCCGAGCCACGCGACTGGTCCTGGCGTCCTGCAAGGGACAGCTGGTGTCGCGCCTCAGCTGCCCTATGCCCCGTGGCCACAGAGGCACTGGGCTGCTGAGCTGTGCTGCCCACCAGCCCTGCTTCTCAGGAGGGGGGCCCAACGCTTGCTCACCCCCTGACGTTTCCATCTCGCGTGGAATCTCTCTGCAACGGGTGAAATCATGGCGCTGCCACCACTTTCCACAGGGCAGAGGTTTTACCCAGCCTGTTGTAGGCGCCAAGCAGCCCAGCCGCCTGCACCGACACCGGGGCTCAGGCGACCCTCCGCCAGCGCAAGTCAGGAGGTGGCACGTGCGTCGTGTGGGCAAAGCCACACGCCTGGGCGATGCCAGCTGTGGCATCTCCTGCCAGCGTGGAGCCAGTTGGGCTGAGCAGGGAGGGGCCGTGACGGCCATCGCCTACTCCAGTGACCTCGCTGCTGGCAGCTGAGAAGCCGGTCCCTCTTTTGGCTCGTGTATGCACCCCGCACCTGGAGAAGTGTGAAATAGGACATGGCAGCGCTATAAACACCTGCACAGCTGCGCAGGGGTGAGC